CTGCCTCAGGTTTCTTTACACTCCAATCTATCCTGTATTCAGCTATTAAAGTGGTTTTTCTAACACACAGGTCTGATCATGCCCCCCCCCCCCACCTGCCCAACACACACACTCACTCAATAAATTCCAGTGGCTCCTAATTACTTCCACAGTCAAATACAAAATACTTTTTTTGACCTTGGTAGTCCTTCATAATCTAGCCCCTTCCTCCATTTCCAGTCTTCTTACATAGCCCTTCATAATCTAGCCCCTTCCTCCTTTTCCAGTCTTCTTACACCTTATTCCCTGGCCTGCACTCTCTAATCTAGTGATGATGATCCATGGACAAGGCACTTCCATGCCTGGGATCTTCTCCCTCCTCATCTCCACCCACTGGCTTCCTTTATGTCCCAACTAAAATTCTATCTGGGGACCATCTCCAGTTGTACTGACCTATATCTTGCCACTGGACCCAGATGACTCTGGAGAAGAAAGTGGGCTGGTGACCTTGCACAGCCCTCCCTCACTTAAATCCAATTCACTTACAAGTCATGGCATCACCTTCCTGATGTCATGATCCTCTTCGACAATGAAGGACAAACAACAATATTACATTTTCGATAGGAAACCTTTTCCAACCCCTCTTAATTCTAGTGCCTTCCATCTATTAATTATTTCCTATTTATCACCATATATGATTTGTCTATACATATTTGTTTGTTGTATACTCATTAGACTGTGAGCTCCTTGAGCGCAGGAACTGTCTTTTGCCTTTTGTTTTCTTTTTCTTTTTTCTTTTTCCTTCTTTCTTTTTTTTTGCATCCTCAGTGCTTACCACAGTGCCTGGTACATAGTAGGTGCTTAATATTTATTGAATTACATTATCTATCTATGTATGTATCTATCTACGCACATACATATGTCTCATTCTGTACTTTACATCTGTAATGGATAGCATGTTTTATCATTGGTCCTTTAAAGTTATGAATGGTTGCTGATCATAGTTCTGATAGTTTTGATCATAGTTCTTGTAGTTTTCAAAATTGCTTGTCTTTAGAGTGTTGTTATTACCGTATAAATTATTCTCCTGGTTGTGCTCATTTTATTCTTCATCAGTTTATTCCTGAGGGTCAGACCTATGACCCATTTTGAGCGGGGGAACTCTGACACTGAATACTTATGTAAGGAAATTTGTTGGACCCACTTGGAGAGAGGATAGAGATGAGTTGAGGGAGAAGAAGCCTGGACTTTTGAACAGCTAGCAGGAGCCTCCAGAGCAGCAGATGAGATGGGGGCCATGCTCCTGAACTTCTTAGCAACCCTAGGGAAAGCTGGTAATGGACTCCCCAGAGTGAGAGTGTCTCCTCTCTCCAGGCTGGAGCAGAGATCTTATCTTGATCCAGGCAGAAGAGTTCATTTACATTTCAATGCAGTGGGTGTATTCTATTCCGCACAATTTCTCCAATTTCTGTTTGCTAGTTTCTTTGATAAAGAAATTTACTAGCAATTCATACTGGTCTCTTGTATAACCAGTATTTGGTGGGAAGTGGGCTAAGTTGGCTAGAGTGTGAAGTAAGGGTTCCCTTTCCCCTAGAGGGCAATTAGTAAAGCAGTTTTTATTCTGAACCTCAGATACTCTTCAACTAGAGATTTTTGCAGATGGGACAGATATGAATTTAGACCAAGATCCATTTTGAGGAGAGGAGAATTCACCTAGCCTCAGTGTAACTTGATCTCACTTGTCTCTCCCCTCCCCACTCCTGACTAGGCAATTAGTGGTAACAAGCATGACCTTTCTTCCTGCTTTCAACATAAGTGAGCTAAACTCCAGGTATCTCTCCATGCCATTCCTGGCCATATTTATATATTAGACAGCCCCATATAGGCATTCTTACACCTCCATCATGTCATTTGATCCTCACTGCCCAGTGCAAGAGGTACTCCATTTACTCATTTTGCAGATGAAGAAAGTGAAGCTTAGAGAGGTAGTGACTAGCCCAAGGTTACACAGCCAGCACTATATGAGATGTGATTCCAACCCATGGTCTCTGACATCACATCCCAGGCTCTACCAATGGTCACCTGTATTCCATGTCGAGGCATCACTGACAATTGTAAGATTCTTTACCAGTCAATTTGAAGTTTGACTTCCAGAAGTTTACATTAGTCTCAATTTAATTCTACAAATATTTATTAAGGGTGTACTATATAGAAGACAGTCAGTGTGATGTGGGTACAAAGGGTGCCCTAGGACTAAAAACAATATTCAGGGTTGCTTTCCCAGGCCCCCCGAGGGAGTTTCAGGCTTATTCTGTAGCCCATCCTGTACCTTGAGATCCTGGAACTTGAGAGCTTCTCAAGGCCCTTCCCCTTTATCTTGAAATGTCATGCAACTTGTACCAAAAGAATTGCCTGTGTCTCCCTTATCCTGTGTTCCCTATCCTGTCATTCATGTTCCTCATCCTGTGTCCCTAATCCCCAACCCTCATAAGAAACCCTCAAAATACATCATCACCATCATCCTGCAGGCCGTACAGCTTTCTGTCTATAAAAGCACTTTTCCTATATTGGTGCCTTTGTTTAGCTCCTGGCTAACCTCAGACCCATGAAGCTTTCATGAAATAAAGCTCCCAAGGGTTACAGAGAAGGTCTAAGTGAATTCTTTCACACCTGAACCAGCTCTCCCAACTCTAAACCTCAACAACTGTGACCCTTGGTAAGTCCCTTAACCTGTTTGCCTCAATTTCCTCAACTGTAAAATGGAGATAATAGCACCTACTTCCTAGGGTTATTGTGAGGCTTAAATGTGGTAATATTTGTAAAGTGCTTAGCACAGTTCCTGCCACATAGTAGGTGCTATATGAATATTACTACTGCTACTACTACTAAACACCACCACTACTAACTACCACCACCACCATAACTACTACTACTACCACCACTACTACTACTAACCACCACCACCATAACAACTACTACTACTGCTACCACCACTACTATTACTAATCACCACCACCACCACCATAACAACTACTACTACCACCACCACCACCATTACTATTACTACTACTTTTGCTGCAGAGCTAGGGACACAGAAACAAAGACATTTAACAACCTCAGCCACCAAGGAAGTTATATTCCACTGGAGGAAAGGGGAAAGACCTGACCCAAAGAAGTAAGCAATTTCTATAAGGTGAGAGCCCATTAGCATGACAAGAACCTAGTAAGACATTAAGTTAGGCATACAAAGCAAGCCAAAATAAAAACAAAACAAAACAAAAACAAAGCAGTCCAGGCCTAAAGGAAGTTACTGACCAGGGAGAACAGTTAAGTAAACAGGAGAAAAGTTTCGAATAATCAACTAGCTTTTGTTAAGCACAATCTCCGCCCCACCCCCAGCAGGAGGGTTTCAAAGACAAGCAGCAATAACAACAAACCAAAGGTGAAACGTCCCTAGTGCACAAGTCGCATCTAGGGGATCCCAATTTTCTACAGATGAGTAAAACCTTTCTTGCCATATACACACATATGCATATGCATGTATTTACAACGGAGAAATCTTTAATAAGTGAGATCATCAGGAAGGACCTTTCTCAGTGGTGCCAGCTGAGATGTCCCTTCAGGGGGCTTGGCAGTTATTCAGTCTCCAGGGTCACTGTTCACCCCATCTCTGTCACCAGCTCATGTCACAACCAGGTGACTCTTAACCTGTTGTAATGCTTTCCCGTTTAAACATACAGTCACAACTTCGAGAGGAATGTGTTCAGTCACAAACTTCACAAACAAGAACAGCTTTAGTTAATCACTAGTGAGTTCGCAAACTTTTTTTTTTAAAGTCCTGAAATCTTAGTTCTTGTTTTCTCTCCAGGTTCCCAAAGGAGAGAACAAAGTCTTTACTGAGCTTAAACCTTTTATAGCCTGGTGTTTCCAAAACTAACAAATGAAGAAGACTCAAGTCAGCTTTCGAGTGGGGGTGGGGTGGGGTGGGGTGGGGTGGGGGCTGGTCATCTGAGCAGAGCAGGCAGAAACACTGTATTCTAGGACTTGGAGGAGGAAGGGGGACTTTCAGAGACCCTGCACTCCAATCCTCTCACCGTGAGGAAGAAGAAAGAGAGGACTAAGGTTGGCAAACCCGGAGCCTGAGAAAGAACATCCGCCCTGATGTATTCCAGAGGGATGGCAGACTGTCCGTTACTTTGTCCTCTTGCGTGTGTGTGTGTGTGTGTGCGTGTGTGCGTGCGTGTGTGCGTGCGTGCGTGTGTCTGTGTGTGTCTGTTTCTGTGTCTATGTGTCTGTGTGTGTGCGTGTGTGCGTGCGTGCGTGTGTCTGTGTGTGTCTGTTTCTGTGTCTATGTGTCTGTGTCTGTGTGTGCGTGTGTCTGTGTGTGTGTCTGTGTCTGTGTGTGTGTCTGTGTGTGAGTGTGTGTCTGCGTGTGTGTGTGTGTCTGTGTGTGCGTGTGTGTGTGTGTCTGTGTCTATGTGTGTGTGTGTGTCTGTGTCTATGTGTGTTTGTGTGTGTCTGTGTGTGAGTGTGTGTCTGCGTGTGTGTGTGTGTGTCTGTGTCTATGTGTCTGTGTGTGTGTGTCTGTGTGTGCGTGTGTGTGTGTGTCTGTGTCTATGTGTGTGTGTGTGTGCGTGTGTGTGCCGAGCGGGTACCTCCCTAGTCAGAGGCGCGCATCCACTTACCAAGAAGGTCAGAGCAAAGCGCCCTGTTGCCCCGCCTCTGTCCCGGGTGCGGGAAGAAGAGTTCCCAGCACTAGGTGCACGTTTCCCAGGAGTTTTGCATCCCCGGGGGCTTAGGGGGGTTGAGGAGCGTCCTCGTCCCCCTGCCCTCTCCCCCAGTCCCATGTGGCTCAGGGAGCCCCCAGAGCTCCCTGGTAACTCTCGCCTCGCCTGGGGCCACCCTGGCAAGGACACCTGGGCTAGGACGTGCGCGCAACCTCGAACCCTACCCTCCCTCGGTGGCGGGGGTGCGAGCCCAGCCTACCCTCTCCGTCCCTTCTGGGGCCGTAGCGCGCTCACCTGGCCACGGTTCGGCCTCGCACCTGAGCGCGCCGGCGGGATGCTGAACGCTGGATGGAGGATGCGGGATGCGCTCCCAGGTAGGACCGCCCAGGCTGCCCCCAGGGCCGGCTACGCGGGCTGCTGCTTGGGCTTGGTAGGCGGTATCCGGAGCAGCCGCCCAGCGGCCCTCCCTACCCTCCCCCGCCCCTACAGGCCCCGCCCCGGGTTCCACCCTTCCCCCGTGCGCGCCCCTCCTCTCCTCTCCGGGTGCGCCGCACCCCACCTCCCGGGGAGCCGTTGCGGCAGCCGCGGGCACTGGCACGAAGTCACGTGAGGCCGGCCGGTAGGGTCACTGCCGCGGCCGCCTCCCTGCGGGGGACAGCCCAGTGGGCACCGAAACGCGCCAGGCTTCCAGCTTGGCTGTGGGGTCCTGGCCGCTGTTGGCCCACCTGCCCGGGAACCCCACCCCCAAGCCCAGGGACTTAGCTTGTGGGTGGGATGGCAGAGGGAGAGATTAAAGAAGGGCGGACAGGGAGGCACCGGACGGCTGTGGGGTCGGCAGGGGGAGGAGGGCTAAAGGGAGGACGGATGGGGGCGGGGAAGGAGTAGAGGACAGGGCGGGAGAAGAGGGATGGGAAGGAGAAGAGTTGGAATGGAAGAGGATCTAGCAGTGGGGGGAGGGGAGAATGCTAATAGAGTTAGTTCCACAGCCTGGTTCTTGAGCTCCTAGGACAGAGCTGTTTCTTTGGCCCTTTGGGAGTTTTCTGGAGTTCCGGCTCCGTTTTCTTAAAGACCATTCCAGAAAGAAGATTTCCACGGATCACTTAACAATGGGGGTCAGTGTCAAGGCTTGACCTTTGTGGGCATGTTCTGTAATCCAAGGATCCAAGGAATGATTTCTTCTCTGGGCTCCAGTGACATCATTAACCACGTATCAGCTGGTTCCATCTTGGTAGATTACAAGTGTCAACCATTAAGTCAGACTCCTGGGTTAACCTTCATCTTTGACTGCTCTTATCTGAAGTGCAGTTGACCTCTCCCTAATTGTCTTTGCAGTAAACAAGATAAATTGCAATTAACTTTTAATTAAAAAAAATAAATTAAAAGCGAGCATGCTAATGCTAAATTTGCGCCCACCTCCCAGTATTGTCAACTCTTAATTCCTCTGAATCAGTGTGGATTATGTAGATCTTTCACTTGCCCTTAATTCAGGAATTTAGAGCTAGAAGTGGACCTTGGAGCCATCCCAAGAGTTTACAGATCCGGTTCTAAGAGGGGAGGCCCAGAGAAATGAAGGAACTTGCTTGAGCTGTGTACAGTGAGCTCTTAGCAGCCAGAATTCAAACTGGAAGGGCTTTTGATTTCTAGGCCACTTCTACAATCAGCAGTCCTCCCTCACCCCTACACCCCATCTTTCCTTTTTTTTAAAAAAAATTCTGAACTGGACAAATATTAAATTCAATGATCACTTCCATTTGTATAGGAGAGCAGAGTAAGATTGAACATAAAATGGCGTGTCCCCTACAGCTTGCATTTCCTTTTTAAAATTTATAATAAATTGAACATGTAACATTGCAACCCAGCAGTCCTTCTTCCTCCTGCTGCAGAGATTTTGTTCTATTCATTAGGATCCTCATCCTGTGGACAGGAAGGGGGAAAACTGAAATTTAGAAAAAAAAAATCTGTCTGACTTTCTTTTAAGAGCTCAGAGAAAAGCCTGGCAAGGAAGAAGATTGCAGTAATTAACACTCAAGGATAATTTTACATTCTCATTTTAGACAATCATGTGTTTTGCCTGGTTTTCATTATTTTGGATAAAGGCACCAGAGGTATCTCTTAATGCTTCTTAAAGATGTGGTCCATTTAATTTCAATGGAGACAATATTTTCCTTGCAAATTATTTTGTCAATAAAAAGATTTTCTACATTGATTGAACATTAGAGTCCTTATTAATCAGAAAAAAAAAGAAATACTTCACTCTAAAGATGTTGGATGTGAATCATGCCTAAGGGTTATTGTAATAGAAAGAGTCTTCAAGAATGAAATCATAAAATCTTAGAGTTGCACAGGACCTTAAAGGTCATAGCATCCAGTTTCCCACTGAATGAAGGTATCCTGACATTGACAATCCAGCCCTTGATAATTGGGTCCTGTGTCTGCTTCAATATGGAAGTAATGGGCGCTCCCTAGTTGCTGAAACAGCACTTTTGGCTGGTGGACAGCTCAGCCTCTAAAGAGTTCTTTCTTTCATAGAGCCAACATTTGATTTCCAGAAATTTCCATCCATTTGTACTAGTTCTGTCCTCTGGAGCACCAGGCAGTGATTACTGCCTCCCTCCCCCTCCCCCCATGATAGCTCTCCAAGATAGCTGTCACACCTTCCCTATCTAAGCCTAATTTCTTTCAGGCTAAACAAACAGACCCAGTTCCTTCAAGAGACATCATTCCTGTATTCTCTCTAGTTTTTCAAATGCCCTTAAAATTGGTGCTGGGAACTGAATACAATATTCTGAATGTAGTTGGACTGTGGGATTCTTCATTCTCTTAATGAGACCTCCTTCATTCACGCGACAACAATTTTCTAAGCATCTTCAGTATTGTAAGTAGAGCACTGTGCTAAGGAGATGTAATCTTCTTTAAGTATTGCACAGATATTTTTCCTGGCCATGATTTTACAGAATAAACAATAGAGCAGGAGCTTGGATTTAACCTGGCATCCTGGTTCCTGATTAGTTCAGTGGAATATTTTGAGTACATGTCTAATGTGACCATTGGACAATGAATACTACTCAGCAGTACTTCCTAGGACAAACAAGGATTGGAGACCTAGATATTTAAATCCAAGTTTATTTATCCAGAATACTTGTTCTAACGCCAAATGCTTATTTTTTTTTTCAAGACAAACCATTGAAGGAAGAAAGCATGGTTTTATATTCAGACATCGTACTGAAAAATGCTATTACAAGAAAGATTGCCTGTTGTGATGAGGAAAAACACCGGGTTATGAGGAGACAAAAGGAGGAACAAATGTTTATTAAGCACTTACTATATACAGAGCTCTGTGTTAAATGCAATGAAGGATGAACAGCATATTTTTAAATTAAAATGTCTTTTTTATTATGAAATTATACATCAACAAACAGGAACACTTCCATTTAAAAGGAGAAAAGAGCTTTATATATTAAACTGTGAACTTACATAGTTTTAAAGCATATATAAAATTTAACTTGATAATAACAAAACTATCCTTATCCCTTCCAAACTTCCCTCTTCCCTCTTTTCCTTTCTATGTTTTTTTTAACAGTTTCATTGATACGCTTTTCTTTCCTTTCTTTTTTCCTTTCCTTTTTCCTTGGTTTCTTTTCCTTTTCCTTCCCCTCCCCTTCCCTTCACTTTCCTCATTATTATCACTACCTCAGATATAGTTAGATAAGTAACTATTCCTGCCCTCATGTGTATGGTCTATTGGGAAGATAAGACATCAATAGACTGGAATATATTTTTCATGTAACTATATATGAAACAGTTGTCTCCCTGATAGAATGTAAGTTCTTTGAGCATAGAGACTATTTTTCTTTTGCCTAGTATCCTCGGAATCTAACATGATGCCTGGCACGTAGTAGGGGCTTAATGAATACATGTTGATTGATAGATTCTGCAGTGTTATCTGGCAGGTCCATTCTCAGCACAGTTCCAGTGCCATATCCTCCACCTCCTATATAAGACTGCTCACCACTTGTTAATGTTTTCCACTTCTTGAAATTTCCTTGTAGCACCATGAATATACTTTCCATTTTCCTATCTATATGCATGTTGTATACAGGTGACCCCCAAATCTTAGTTCAGTTTTAGCTTTCCCAAGGGGAAATCAGGAGATGAAACAGATCAATGGGTTCTACTATGTATCACCAATTCTGGAAGTAAGTCTAGTGGATGATTCACTCTTTATGCCTTTCTTGTCTTCTGCTTTTCCCATTGATCAATGTAAGTCAAATGGTGATTGGGCAGTCGTCTTAAAATTAATCATATTTACTTTACTCATAGGTTCCTAGATTTGTGGCTACAGGAGAACATAGAAGTCAAAGGATCATAGATCTGTAGCTGGATGAGGTGTAAGAGACCAGGAAGTCCAACCCTCTCATTTGACAGATGAGGAAACTGAGGCAGAGGGAGAAGTGACTTGTCCAAAGTAAGTCAATAAGGGGTTATGGTAGGATTTGAAAACACATCTTCCAGATTCCAAATCCAGGACCCTACGTACTATACAACATTGCTTCATCTAGTCCTATCTCTTCCTTTTGCAGAGGAAAATGAGGTCCGTAGGGTTATTATGCATGTGGGAAGTGACTGAGGCAAAATTTGAACTTGGGTCCTGTGACTCTAAGTTTGGCCCTTTCTCCTTTACCCTATGCTGTGTCCAGAATCTAGCTGGACAGAATCCAGCCTGATCTTATTGTGGGTTTGGCTAGAGATTTTTCTTTTCTTGGCAAACCTGAGTTAGAGAGAAGAGGCCCTCCATGGCAGCATTTGTCAGCACCCACACATACATGAACCAGCTGGTCCATAAATGTACATTTCACCCAGGTTGTTCCTGCATTTATGTGCCCTGTGAAACAGGGGGAGGGCCTGCTTGCTATAAAATCTTGGTTAATTGCAAAATGAACAAATTTCTAGCAAAAGGCAAGTGGAGTCATTTTGGAATTTTTGCTTTTGGAGAAACAGGAGGGGATCAGAATCTTTTGGGGTGAGAAACCTGGGGCCTTGAGTGGACTTGAAGCTGTAGGTTCCCCAACCTGAAGAATGACCACCCAGTCAATGCTGTTATCTCAGCCAGAACCTGCACCAATACAGAGAGGGTTTTTTTTTTTTTTGGTTTTGTTTTGGTTTGGTTTGGGTTTTTTTTTTTTTTTTTGGTAATTAATGAAAAAAATTCAGTAAGAGTCAAACATACCGAAAACAGTGACAGGGTGGAGACATATTACAAAAAAGTTGTTGAGGATCATTGGTTACCATTTATAGATGATGTGTCTTAAAAAAAACTGTGCATAAAACCAATAGAAATAATGGAAGCATTTCTTACAATGCTCAAAATAATAGC